TTAGGACTGCCTTTGGTGCACCTCAAAGGATTTGGATTGTTGTATTTTCATTTTCATCTGTTTCCATATATTTTTTAATTTCTTCTCTAATTGCCCGGTTGACCCATTCATTCTCTAGTAGGATGTTCTTTAACCTCCATGCTTTTGGAGGTTTTCCAGACTTTTTCCTGTGGTAGATTTCAAGTTTCATAGCATTGTGATCTGAAAGTGTGCATGGTATGATCTCAATTCCTTTAGAGCAGAATGGACTCTCTGGAGCCAAGAGTAGACAAGAGGCTCACAGAAGGAGGGTAGGAAGGGCGGAGAGGCGGTGTGCGCTACATGGACTGGCGGGAGGGAGCCGGGGCAGTGGAGGGGCAGCCTGCCCTGCAAGGCAGAACCCCCAGGTCTGACTTGCACAAGCGGAGGGGCTGGATGGAGTGAGTTCTGACAGCCAGCAGGACTTAACATCTGGAATGTTATATAAGTCAACAGCTCTGCTCAGAGAGCGGGAGGGCTAGAGGACAACCGGAGGGAGAGTTGTTGAGCCCCGGAAGACAGAGCTCAGCTCGTCGGGGAACAAAGGCGCTGGCCAGCGCCATCTCCCTCTCCCATCCCCCAGCTTAAACCCCAAAGGGAACCACTTCCCATCACGGAACTTGCTTGCACTGTGCAAACACCCAACACTGTGCTTCTTTGGATCCATCCCTCTAACGGGTCTGCCTCTCTCCCTGTGCTGCAGGGCTCCTCCTGCAGCAGACCACTGAAGGCAAAGCGAGCTGAATCTGCCCCTCCTGCCCCTGTGTACCTTGCAGATCCACTCCAGCTAATACGCCAGATCCCATCGAAGCAGCACAAGCCTGGCAGTGTGCAAGTAGCCCAGACAGGGCCCACACCACTCCACAGTGAGTCCTGCCCCTGGGAGAGGGGAAGACAAGGTACACACCAGTCTGACTGTGGGCCCAGCAGTGGGCTCGGGACAGACATCAGGTCTGTGGCCCCGCCCACCAACACAAGTTACTCCAGACAGCACAGGGGAATAGCCCTGCAGTTCTGCACCACTCCAGGGACTATCCAAAATGACGAAACAGAAGAATTCTTAAAAGAAACTCCAGGAAGTAGCGACTGCTAACAAATTGATCAAAAACGAATTTAAAATAATAGTCATAAAATTAATCGCCGGGCTTGAAAA